TTTATTAATTAATGAGTCACTCGAATTTTTTATCTCAAAACATTTCAGACTTTGAAATATACGATGGAATTCATATAAAATGTATGTGCAGCGATTTAAAAATTTCTATAAACATGACCAAAAATAAAAAAAAATTTGATGCAAATAAATGTAAAATAAATTTGACGCAATATGTAAAAACGTCGCGTATTTTATCGTGCCCACCGAATACACGCAGCGCTTCAACAAATGATTTACATTGCGGGCAATTTTAGAAAAAAAAAAAGAGAATACATTTTGACATTTACAACGCAGTATATCGACGTAGTATAGCTCGAAATTAATCTCGCGATAAGAAAACATTTCACTTCGATATCGAAATCGTATCTGTTATCCAGAACGGATTCGCCGCGGACTTTCCGAGAGATTGCGGAACGAAATCTTTATCAACAATGACGTCCGGATTAATCACATTGCGCAAGAACGTTGGCGACAAATCACAGGACGCGTACAAAAATTAATATTTAATATATACAGAGTGTCTACTCATAAATCTTGTAAAAGAATTCCCTGCTCTTCCAGATATTTTTATTCAAAATTTCAGAGAGACATTAAAGAGAAAATCTTAAAGATTTTTTGACGAAACTTTCTAAAATTTATTGCACGTTTTCTAATATTTTTCATTTATAGGAAGAGAGACGGAATCTTAAATGCTAGATTTGTAAATGTACTGAAAAAAACTGAATAATTTGTTTTTGGAGATAAACATTTTTCACTTATATAACATCTTCATCCATCACGAAAAAAAATACAATAAAGTATATATTATGTATTCAATATTTCGTTAAAATATTGAATGTGTAAAGAGAGATATAAATTTATAGAAATATATATTTATAATATATTTTAAACGTATTAATAACTCACTTGGCTTGTTAACTATTTACAATATGAGAGCAAAATTATCAGAATTTTTTAAAAACTTCCGTGTGTGACTTCTAATGAAATTCCATAAGAATTCTCTCATTTTCCAGGAAAAAACAAGGAAATCCTTCAAACAAAGGAAATCCTTCAAACAAAGGAAATCCTTCCAACAAAGGAAATCCTTCAAAAATTCAGATTTTCCATATCTTTTCCAAGGAGTAGACACCCTGATATACGCCAAAATATTATGCATATCATAATTAATACTTAAAAAATAAGCGAGCTCTCTTTAATATCATTTTTTGCCGCGCATTTCGGCGTGCAACGTGCCGTGCCACAAGTAAATCACGAAGGCAAGTCCAACGTCCGGCGAGTAAAATGCCTCCTCGCAATAATAATTATTCTCCAAACGCAAGACCCGGCAATTAGCATCTCATTGGCTCATTTCTCGCTTATGCTAATGGGAATATTATTTAAGCGCGTATACGACGAGAGGGGGGAGGGGGTTGACCCTCCACCTTCTCTTCCTCTCATCCGTTTCTCGCTCTCCTCGCGTTCCTCTCTGTCGCGCAGTCGGCTTCCTCTCGCGAGTTTAGCGGCCCGTCGCCTCGCGTTGCTCGCTTTGCCGCCTTCCGCCGCGCGAAAGACGACGTCTCGCTGTGTTTTTCTTTTCCTCTCGTTCCGTTTACGACGCACGCACCAAGAAGCCGAGACGCCGTTCTGTCCGCCCACGTGGTGTCTCCTCGCGCGATTTCCCCGTTTAGCTCCATCAGGAAATTCTCCGCGATTTACCGGAATGCGCGTAGAACCGTCTGTGAGCGTATCCATCACGTCTGGAGCCGCTCTGAGAAACTCTCGTGAAAATCAAACACGTATCTGTTCTTAAAAATATTTTTTCAAGGAACGCGTTCTATATATATCACATTTGATTTGTATATCTTTATATCGCGAGATTGAAAAATGGAAGAATTTGTCTCGATTCTATTTGAAATTCTCAATTTCATTGTCATCCGTTGTTTGTAATAAATTTGACGGATCTTTAATCAGCGACAATTGATCGATGCATCAATTCTATTCTGTCCCGGATTTTCTCTAAATTGGTTTCGCATGCGAGTGCAGTGATCACAAATTGCGGACTTGCTGCATTTCGAGCCTTTTCATACAATCGTACTTAATACCAGAGAAGAAAACAAGCAGGTACGATTTCTTCGTCGCGCTACTGACCGCCAACAACCGGCGAGGAAAACGATAGACTCTCTTCCCGTTCAACTTGGAAGGCAATCTGACTAGGCGACTTTTCCGTTCTGCGAAATTATCGGCAAAAAAGGTCCGGTCGATTAGCGTCCGCGGGGATTACAGGAGAGGAACAGCCTCTCCTTCCATTCGAAGAGATAGAGAACGCGGTAGAAAAAAGACGGTCGAAGGATTAGCGGGAGAAAAGAAGGAACTCGAGACTGCCGAAGAGTCGAGAGGATGGGAGGCGGCGGAAGAAGAGGGTACGAGCGAACGAGATGGACGAAGCAAAAAGCGCGAACGTTACGTGCCTTTTCTTTACGATAGAAGCTCATTGCTCGTAGATTGCGATTTGCCACGGACGTAATGAAGCCACGCCACCTTCCGCCGGCCTTCCTACCGGCAACTACCGATAAGCAACTACGCAACGGTGACTGCACCGGTGAATGCAACGACGAATGCACTAGGCCCGAAGAGCTGGTTCCTTCTAGCCGACCTACCATAGTGCTAGTGCTAGCATAAGTGGTAGACGATATGAAAATTTTTATCCGACCAGTCCATTTAACTTCCGATTTACTACTCGTAACACCTGCCGGAGGTGGTTTTTTACGAATGCACGTTAAGAATACCCGCGAGCTACGCGCAGAGAGACAACGAACGTAGATGTCGATAATACTTTCAATGGTCAAAAGTCAAGACGTAAATGATGGACGAAATTTATTGCATTTTCATGTGATTTATACTTCGGTAGAAAAAGATAAAAATAAAAAATTTAAGGAAGTATATAATATGTAATCCAGAAAGTATATGAAAGTGTATAATATCGCGTTTTGAATATTAAATATTGTCGTTCGTATTTTTTTAAATATCTGTATCGTTACGTAAATAAAATTGTTTTTATACTTTCCAAATTTCCATTTTTCTCTCTTTACATTTTTATTTTTAAATAAGATCAGTCGACAGTTGTGACAACGGTGGTGAGAGACACAAGTTACCACCTTGCGCGAATATTTACGGTCGTGACAAGTCAGGTAACGGACGTGACGTTTCGAAAAATTGTGGGCAACAGCGCGAGAACAGCGTTGGCGAAATGCATTCCTCTCTCTTTTCTCGTACAAAAAGTCAAAACAAGGACAACAGCAGTTTGGCATTAACTCAATATGCTGATTTTGAAAAATGTAGCATTCGTATATTTTTAAATAAAAATCGTCCATGGAAAACGTCTTCACGAAAATAACTGTGCGTAATAATAAAAACATATATATTTATCGAATATACTGCTGTCAAACAAAATTGACAAACAAGTCCGAAAAGGTGACACATATCATTCGCAGCAAGAAATAAATTTAAATCTGTTCACTCGGTTTTAAATATCAGATAATTGTTGTATCAAAAAATGTTACGCTAATAGAATTTGTCTCTTTATATTTGTAATATTATTTAAATATTTGTAAACAAGTATATAATCAAATTCTTATCAACATTAAATTGTATTTTAAGCACGTTAATTTTTATTTTAAACACATTATTTTGATTTATATTAGTTATGCGCCGTCAACACAGAGGAATAACTTATTAAAATAATCTTAAAATATTCAAATTCCAAGCCTCCATATGCATGATGATTAAAAATCTTTAGAAAAAAATAATTATTAATTAAAAATAGTTTAATGATATAATACAGTGATTTCATGCGGTTTCTGCAAAAAATTTTGCAAAGTACAATGAGTCGGAAAACTTCTCGAGGAATTCATAATGGCGGTTCGATCCTACGTTGCCCTAACCATCGCGGTAAGGCCGCAATCTCACCGATGAAAAATACACACACACACACGAGTTATTTAAAAAGCTCCCTCTATCTCGTTATCTCGATCGTAGCGCGCGTGTAAAGGGTCGACTAAAATATTTCTTCCTCTACATCTTTTCGACGATTCCACTGAAACTTGGAGTAAATTGCCATCCGTTCGAAAACAATGGCGCACAATGTTGTCATGTTCGGATCTTTATTACCAAAACAAACTATGTTTGAAAATTACATTGACCTTCCGGTACATTATTATACGCTGTTCAACAGATCATATTATCATGTATCGCATATCATATTCAATTATTTATTCATAGTAATGAATAATAAAATTACACAATGTATATTTATCTGTTGATAAAAATTTGAATGAGATTTTAGATTACGCATAGTTTGAACCATGTTTACGAGATTACAGAGAAATGCAATATTTGTTTTGGTCAGTGATATACAATGCTTTATCATCTAGATATCTCATAATGAATGTATCCGTCCTAATGAAACTCCGAATTCGTGTTACGACGGGAATAATAACGATGGATGGAAACGCGCAATGCTTTATACCGTTAATTGTTCCACTCATTGAAAAAAAAAAAAAAAAGTGTGGGACACCCTAGCGCTGACTCGAGCGTTGTTACCTTATTTCCTGGTTCGTTATTTTGTCGTTGAAGTCGGCCGACCGTATTTGGGTATCTCGACGGGCGATCACCTCCGATGAAATTGGACGATTAAACGCCGGAGAGCCGTCAGAGAAAACGTAACGCGACCACGAAACTTCTCGCTATTTACACGTTGCTAAAATCGGATAACGCGGTCTCGAGATCTCGCTTACTCCAAGCATTCTCCTTCTATCGGTTTAATTGACCCCGGTTGTAATTAATCCTCGATGTCTCCACGAACATTATTCGCGATTTTCACGTGCAAATTTGTGCGAAAAAATTGTAATCTCCGAAGGAAATTGAACGATTGTGAATTGACAATTTAAAATTATGAATTAGCGAAGCGAGAAATGCAACTATCTCGCTTGCACACAAGATAAATGAATAAGGAAATTACTCACCAGCGAGTCCACCTCCGGGTCCGCAATGTAATACGGCTTTTCTTGTCTGATCTGTAACACACAAACACACATATTAGATCGTTAATAATTGGATCCAACATAATTGCAGTATTAAAGCTATATAGACGATCGTATCGCGATGTATATGCATATATATATATATATATATATATATATATATATATATATATATAAGGAAACACATGAGTAGCCAAACCTCCGTGCTACATCTCCCCCTTCTCTTTTCCTCGTCTCTTTGCACCTCTTTCTCTAAGCGATTTCCTTCGCGTGCTTCCTCTTAATTGGACCCCCACTGTTCAATTCGTACGTATAGAAACGGAAACGCGATGGAATTCAGGCGGCAAATCGAGGAGGCAGACAGCAATGAGAAGAACCGGAGGAGGCATCGTTGAAATTCTCAGACATTTGCACCGTAATCAGAATGGAAACAAAACTACTTTTAAATTGATGTTCAAACTTTTCGATGAGAAAAAAAGAGGAAAAAAAAACTGCGCGACAAATCTTGTTTGCAGTTTCGTGATACGACGTCAGATCGAATAATCAGATTAGAGCTTTCGAGATATCATTAACTCTCTATCGGGCCAATTATTTTTGCCATTGAAAAAAAATGCGCGCTGGCAAATATCAAAATAAAACGATAATACGTAAACAAATATACGTATTAATTTTATTTTTAATTTACGGAAGATTAATGCAAAATTCTCGAAATTATCATTACATTATTTATTACACACAGTCTCAAAGACACGACGAAGGAAGAATAACTTCTCTCTTACAATATCGAATACCCAAAGAGTCAAGAAACGTGAGATTCAGTCAGCAGGAGCGTTGCTCTTCTACGAAGGAAAAAATCGGATAATGAAATATTGTCCTCACGCACGAATTCCCAGGCAAGAGCGCGTATTCATGAGCCGGAATTCTCAATGGGCGAGTCCTCGAGTCCTCTCCTGTATTTCAGAGTGTATAGATAATGAAGGCGTCTCGTGCGACAAAAATACTGTCAACTGTTCGTAGGAAAGGGTAAGGGAGGGAGGACTAGTTCTTGCGCGACCCTGTCATCGCGCTTTTTCGACGGTTCCCGTGCAACGAGCTAAGCGCCACGCAGGTAGGCAAGATTACAAATTGTAAACAGCCCGTTCTGCTTTCTGTACCCCAGCTGCCCCCCTCCCCGCGTAACGCTGCTTATGATTCTTTGCACAGCGTTTTTCTCGAAACGGTGCAGTCGTTCATACGCCGACACGTGCTGACGCATTCGTAAAAAGCTTGGCAGCAGTCTGTGGAATAAAAAAAACTCGGCACGTCCAAAGAGGAGAATAATGGGAAATGAGAAAATTGGCAAAGTTAAGCAACGTTTAGCTCAACGGTGATTGCGCGATACGTTTCATCTATATAATTTACAAGCAAGAATTTATTTATACAGCGACACGCGAGAGAAATGATTTCTTGCGATATCGAAGCAGCGGCAACGCGCAATGTAAAATTTCGCAAAAGAAAAAAAAATGTGTTCCCATTTGAAGTCTAATGGCGAGGAAAATCGATCGCTCGCGCGGTCAAGAATGTTCGATGAGAAAACAAACATCGATAGATGCGTATGGAAACGTCAGCATTTGCTGGCTGTCGGGCGCGCATAACTCAGCGCGGCGGAGGCGGTAAAAATATTGTGCGATAATATTTAGAGAATGCTCTCGTTCCGGCAAGCGGGGTGTCTGTTCCGGACGATCTCGCATGCACGTACGAGGGTCCACATAGAGGGAAAATACGTACGCACACGTAGCGCGCGTTGAGACTTTCCCAGTGTGCGCCGATCTTGCCGAGAGATATACCGAGCAGCTGCTTTAGAGGCTGCTGCTGTTGCTGGCTTTCTTGCCTCTGCTATTGCTGCCGCCCCCTCGAACCCTTCGTTTCGTAACCCTTCCCTTCCCGATTGGAGAACTCTGTGCAGGACGAAATCTATACACGCGGGACACACGTGTGGAACGAAAAATTTTCTAACTTGTCTCTCCTATTTATTTGTAATGTATTCTTTGGTATTTCAGGAATCATATGGTTCCGGTAAATTTCCAAGAGAACCTTGTTTTTTTCGTGTTTATAGCTGAAAATGTACGTTCTATAAGAATCAACAGAAATGCTTAAGAAAAATCAATTCTAGTTAATCTCATCGTTTCAATCGATATTTTATGATACTATCGCATTTTTTAAAAATTGTTGAATAGCAATAAACATACAACTATTTCAATTATATTGCCGTGTTAATTTATATAGAGAGTGTGCAGACCACCCAAATAAAAGAAATATTGATTTTCACTAGTTTTTTCCAAATTTCAAAATAATCCCGCATGGACTTGCTATTATAATAGAATAATAAGAATTTTTTTCTAGATATATAACCATGAAGAATTTTAAACTTCTTTCATCGGGCAAATATATATTATTACTGAACTATGGTTAACTTTCGTTACGCTTGTCGTAAAATCATTTCTACAAACAATATATCTTCTCGAGGTCGAAGAACATTTTACCGTTACTTTTACGTTAGTCGTAACGTGACAGCATCCTGCGTAAATAAGTATGGTCAAGGGATGCGATGAACATAATGATTTTTTGTCACTTACTTACTGGGTGGCAATAACTTTTAGAACTAGAAAAAGCGTTTTATACAATGGTCAATTCTCTTCTTTTACACAAAAAACAAAACTTGTGAAAAAATCTTAAATAGTTTTTCGAGATCTCCATTTACATTTCAACTATTATATTTAAATAGGGAATATCTCAAATATTCTTTTCAAAAATAACGTTAGTGTATGTCTAGAAGATGAAGTAACTTTAGCTTTCATTACTTTCTCCGAGATATTTTTCATCCAATCTTATATTATCAATATCTATATAATTTTCAGATATATTTAACTAGCGCAATAAACTTAATACTCAATTACAATTTAATGCTTCGACATCTAGATTAGCAAAAGCCAATGAAAGTTTCTACACTCTACAAATGGCCCCGTGTGTTTTCCAATAATATGATCCAGGCTGCGAAAAAGAGAAAAAGAACTGATATCGCGTGATCACTATCGCACGGTAGTACACACGTCAAAACGGGGAGGTATTTACGCTAGAACGCGATAATTGTGAAATTGTAGCAATAAGACCGCCGGCGATATAGTTACGCGGCTCGTAACAACCATCGAATTAACCGGGTATATACACGTTTGGTGTTGAAACAATTAAAACTGAGAATCTGAAACCCGTTTGGAGAATGATCCCGGAATCCGGAATGAAAGCTAAACTTACGGCGAGTCGAAATCATGATGAAATTTCGTTTCACATTTCACAAATATTTCAACGTCAGTTCAATGTGATGTCTCACCTTTTTTACATTAATCAAGACAGAATTCTCTAAATAAAAAATGTATTTAATATTATATGCAAAAATATACATACATAATGTACAATTTTTTTTCCTGATTATAAATATTTTAACGAATATCATTAAATTAAAATAAAATTTCATTGGAGACACCCCATTTGTTATCGTATTTTAATGTCTGAAACTTTCAACACCATCTAAATTTCATATATGTCATTAATGAATATACAAAAGCATGATTACTATAGGCCTAATTGATTACTATAGTCATTGGCTTAATTCGCCAATAACATCGTTATGACGTCATAGGGTACAAAACCGGTCAGAAAGCGATATATTCGCAGGCTTACGCGAGTTTTGTTTCGTTAATTAGCCTCGAATCTCTATTAAAACCAAGGTACTTGATGTTGCACCGGTTCTTATAACGGCTCCTTGAGTAGCTTGGAGAATTAATATGCTTTAATTAATTGAATTGCAGAAAACATTTCATTTTTTTTAACGTTTAAATTTATAAATATTTACAAATATTTATATTTATAAACTTGAAAATAAAAAATACAAAAATATTCATCAGAAATAATATCGCATATAAATAATGCCTATCCCTCTTATTTATACTTATGATTTTACATAAAGTTTCTTTCATTGTAAGAATACTTTTATAAATATCATACATTTATGGCATTTTTGTATAACAGATTTTTGTCTCGAAAAATTGAACAGGAAGAAGGTGAATGAACGACAGAGGCGAAAGAACCGACAGTTTACATTTGAATAGGATACGTTCTCTAGCGGTCGCCATTAGGCATTTTATGAGAGTTTAATGCTTCAAGAGGTGCATCCTAATTGTACCAATAAATCTCCGATAGGATCTTTCTTCCCGGGTTCTCTCTCTCTTTGTATCTGTGAGCGTGACACAGAATCGCGATATCGTAACGAACACACGCACGCCCACATCTCTCAGTTCAGTTTCAACTCATTGCGACAAGACGCAATTACACCATCAGGAAAAATGTTTTGCTCGCGGATAACAGCGGCAATATATCGCGCTCGTATTTTACGGCGCACATATTAAATCGCTAAACTCGTCAGAAGTTAATTTGGCATAAATAAATGGCGTTATAAGATTCATATATGTCTACCTAACGGTCGTCTCGCGTGAGAAATCTCCGTTAAATACCGAAATAACACGTCAATTTTTAACCAGACCTGTCACTTAATTAGTCATAATAATTAGTAATAAACTTTTCTCGCGTGCGTTAAATTTATAAATTGAATAAATGTGGATCGAGTTTTCACACTCCGTTATAATACTGAGCATCCTGACGTTTATTTGAGTGGCCGGGTTTACATTCAGAGACGATGCGCAGCCGAGGCGACGAAGCGCGAGCGAAATTTTTCGACGCGGTCGTCGACGATGATCGCGAAAAAAAGCGGGATGCCTCTTTTGGCGGGTGAAAAAAAGGGCGCAACAAAGGCACGGCGCAACGTGGCGCAGCGGGGTACGACCGATGGCACGTTGCAGCCAGGCAACGTCGAAGGCAACGAGCGCGAACCGAGGGAGAGAAAGAAGGCGAGGGGTCTCTGGCGGGCGCCGGGGGGAGAAGAGAGAAAGAGCGCATGCACAAGGGGCGTTGGAGACGGAAGAACGGAGGAATATCGTGGCCCCCATAGGGCACACGATGCATGGACTGCAGGGGGGGATAATAGTGGACCCATTGAATAGATCAATTTACAATGGCAGAAAATGAGCAGCCTGCCCCCCTCTTCCCTTTTCTCTCTCTCTCTCTCTCTCATCCCATGTCCCTCTCGATGCCTCTCCGCCGTGCTTCTCCCCCCTCCCTCCCCGATTCTTCCATTACTATCGCGCTGGCTCGGCTCTCTACGCTTTGCCGCTTCTCACGACTCGCCGACCGTCATAGTCGGGCCCCGATTGAGAATCGCGCATGCGTCGCGTTTTGCGGCGACTATGGCGCATGCGTGTACGCACGCATGCACGCATAGTACGCCACGCAACGAAATGCGAAGTAATCCCGCGTGCAACGCGCGGCCCTTTTGTTATACGGCCCTATCGCCGTGGCGGTACCGACGCACTAGGGCGAGAGGGGGAAATCGAGAGGACACGTCTCGCACGGCACGCCTCAAAAACCGCCGCAAGAGGATTGTCACCTGCTTATCTGCCGATGTGCATCGTCGTAGCGCCCCGTGCGCGAGACTTATGTGCCTAGTGATAGTCTTCAAAGATAATGCTCGCTTCTAAATATCGATGTTTACAAAATATTAATATATAGAATAACGATACACCTATATAATCACGATACGTTTGAATTGCATTCTAACGTAAAAGATGTTAAAAGTGTACATTATATTGAATATTCGAAATGTTTGATGTTTCTAAAAAAGAGGATCCACGCAAGATAAAAAAAGATAAAACGCCGGATTCAATTCGATAATTTAGATCGACTCCGCGGATTAACGCGATTGTTCGAACGATAGCGTACGAGGAAAAATTTATTTGCGAATATAGCCGCGCCTGATGTTATATTCAAGAGAGGATTCGCGACGAAGACTATTACCCGGCGAAGTAATTTGTTTATCTACTCCGATACGCGGTCGTAATCTTGGTATTAATGCAAACACGAACCTTCTGTGATGCGTTAATTAAACCACTGCTAGTCGAATTTCAGATACGCGATTTTATTGGCATTTGAATGTGTGTGCGAAGAGGAGCGAGAAGGGATCAAATGTATGGCTAATGTAAGTTGAAATATGAAGCCGAGCAAGAGCTACCGCAAAACCAACAACGTAGTCAGTGATAGATAATATGCAAATAACATTATGCGAATAGTAAATATGAAAAACTTGTCATAGTAATACGATGAGTAAATGAACAAAGTTTTAAGAATGATTAAAAAATCGTTGATAAGACATTAACCATTTTGCATTGAAATTTTTGACTGAATGTTATGGAGAAAGCGCATAATCAATTTGCAGATTAAATCTTTGCAAGATGCTACAAACACTGATAACGTTAAATTAAAAACAACATTCCTTAAATTACCTTGAGAGGCGTCAAAAATTAATGTATTATTCGTTACAAGAATACACGAATATCTGATTCAGATAATAATCGAGTGTATCAGTTAAAAATCAACATAAATTAATTGTAAATATCTCAAGTATTAAATGTTCGACGTAATAAAGATTTTATATAGATACTTTGAAAAAAGATGTAATAAATTGTAGCAACTTCTTTTGATGTTATCATCTCATTGCTTATTTACTTTTTTATCATACACAATTTATTATTATCTTATCGTTATTAAAAGGAATATTATATGCAAGAAAGGAGAAATTCGTTGCAATCATCAATTTTTACCTCGATGTTATACGGATTTAATTATGATCAGAATTATATATATATATATATATATATATATATATATATATGTATAGTTAAGAAGGAAAGAGAGAGAGAGAGAAAGAGAGAGAGAGAGAGGAAAATATCCTAGTAAAAGGCAGCGTCCTCGCGACCCGCAGTCATGAGCATTATTTTTCATGCGCGCGTTTTTAAATGTACCTTATGGTGTATCTTATTAAGATGCAAAAATCATAACGCGCCAGAATCTTGGACGGTCCCCTAACGTAATAACGCGATAAATAATAAGCGCAATGTGCTATACTTATCCCCGACAAAAAAAAGAATATCTTGTATCGCGTTGAAAGAAAGTAATTCGAACGGTCGATTATCTCAGGAATTCCGATACGCCGGAAATTTGGAGCGTTTTTAATCATTTGTGTGGAACTTTTCGATATCAATACGGCGAAACAATATGTACACACACGTGCCCCGCCACTTTATTCTACCTCGCGCCGGAGCTTAATTCTTATCGTTATCTCGGCATAGCATTGCTCAAAGCCACCGCTACTGTGTTACCGACGCCCTATATTTAGATGTAAGACAAATTTTTTCCCCAGCAATAAAGTGACGCACAAACACGCGATCGTGTGACGTAACGAATTCGTGAAAAGCCTGGCAATCGCAAAGATAGTATTATCTCCTTTATACCCTATTGTGCACATTCCTTTTTAAAGACGTTATCTGTGTTATCTCCAATTAATAGGAATTTCAATTAACATACGATATAAAATTCTCCTGTATAATTGATTCAAAAAAAACGAGTAATGCTACGTGATATTAATTGTGAAAGTTACACTAGCCATCTAACGGTGCAGCAACTGGTGTCTATATCTCTCAATTTAAATGTGCTGAATTCGTTTGCATCAGTTCGCTATAAGCAAACGAGCACGATAACATTTTTATTGCCCATTCTATATTGCCTCGCTTAATACGTTGTCAAGAATGTAGCTATATTTTTGGAAAACTACGCGTGAAAAACAACAGACAGGGAAACGAATAAATCTCTAATTATCGTTCGATTCAAATTTTAGTTCTCAATCTAGTCCCATTTAAACGCGCCGAGATGTCTTTTATTCAAAAAATTTATCGTGCAAACGCGAAAAATTTAATACAATATATGCTTAGTTACGTAAGGGACGTATAACTTATTCAGAAAATAGATTAACGCGCTCTCTGACATGTGTAAAAATAGCAGAGAAAAAAATGTAACGCCTTTAGATATAGAATATGTATATTCGTGTCCTTCCGTTTATTTACGATATTAGTTGTCCTAGTTTCGGAATATCACTTCCAAAGTCTCACGTTATCGATGCAAATGTCCGCGTTAACCGAACTATCTCTAGAAAGCACGCGGAAACGCGCGTTCGACCGGTACACTTTCCGAGGCCTTCGAGCAGACCTACGTGTACGAGCTGGCACGCAGACGGCGAAATGGTATGTTTTAAAAGGTCCAAATCGTTTCACGGCATGCGGCCCCGTAGGATCTCGGGTTACCTACGCGTGTCCTTGGGGGGACCTGCCTCAGGTGAGCCGCTAGAGGGAAAGAAAAAAAATAGGAAGAAGGGAATAGAGAAAAAAACTTGCTCACGCGCGCAAGCGAGCGAGCGAGTCTTCTGTCTCGTTGTGCTAGCGGTATATATATATATATTCGGGGTCTCGAAATATTTCTCTCTCTCTCTCTTTCTCAACGATAATCCTAAAAATAAGTCCCACGAATAGAAGCAGGGTTCTTCTTCTTCTTCGAGACCTAAGACGCGCCAGCCAGTTCTCGTGCATGAATCTACTGTTTCAGGACGAAATGCTCGTCGTGACTCATACAAATGTCCAAAAATCGCCATGGGATATCTTTCACGGAAGGATTATGCGTTTAGTATGTCAAACAAAACCGCAAGAAGATTTTCGCGAGGACCGGCAAACGGCAGGAGTGCGTCTCGTGTTATTTATAACTCTTTAGAAAATCCTTTCACTTTTCTGCCACAAGTGTGTCAGTCTGTAGTTAATATCGTCTCGACCGTTATATGATTCGTATGTAAATTGTGTGCGTGTGTCATTCTTTAGGAATATAACTTTGAACATCAAAAGAAGAGAGATATTCTATATTTATAGTGGACTATATGCATATAATATATTGCAACGATATAAACACGTTGACGGTTTTGCGGCGCATCGAAATAAATATATATATATATATATATATATATATATATATATATATGCAACAATAAATTGATATTTATATATACTGTAAACTCACCTGTTTTGAGAAAACGGCGATGTCCTCGTTGAAGCTTTCTGACGAGCAGACGTCACCACCCGCTACACCAGGCTCGCGCGGCGTACACGTTGCCAGCTCGCACTTTTCAAATATGAGTGCGAGGAGTGGGAACAGGGGGTGTCTGGAAGAAGAAACGAGAGAGCGCGTTTAAAGGCACAGGCGAGAGCAAGCGAGCGCGCGCGCCAACGGCAGATATATTATGCTAACGGAGCGCGCAAACTGGAGCACACGCCGTTTCGCGAGGCAGCGCCGATCTCGACAGGCATGCTAATTAATGCCGTTCGAGCTTCTGGCCGCCGGGCCCCGATTCGTTTCTGCGAACAGACGATAAATTATCATCCCATGCCCGCGATATTATGTAACGCGCTTGCGAAAGGAGGCGCGAAAATCACGAGCGAGACGAACTTGGCATTCTCCGCGCAATAAATCGATGAAATACCGTTAATTAGCGAGGCGTGTATATCGTAAAGAGATGTTCATGCAACAATAATGAGTTTCTTCGCGACGACAAAAAGCTTAAAACGATGGAATTGGCACGCTAGGTATGGGTCTGATTCCCGCGCCAAAAAGATCCACCTTCGCGTCCTTTTCCCTCGCGCAAGTGTTATCCGGGTACCGGATGCTCGTAAATAGCGTTTCTTGAATCGTCGAAGCGTGGCCCGCGTGAAAAAGCGATCCGGATCGACGCAAAGTCTCGTCCTCCGCGCGGCCGCGCGTTTTTCTCTTATCCGCGCGTGACCGACGAGGTGGGCCGCCTGTTAGCGCTACGAGGACGCAATTAACTCGGACAACCGTGGTGGCAGAAGAAGCGAAATTCAGCGTGAAGCGCTTAACCGAAAAGCAGGACCACTCCTCCGCTGACCGCGTGGAAAAAATGAGATTCCGAGCCCTTCGTGCGACCGTCAGAATTCGCTCCTTTCATCTTTGTTACGCGGAACGGACAATGTGTTGCAAACTTGGGGAATATTTGTTGAATTTTATTTCTTTGCGTATGTCACTTTATATTATTTATATTACACAAGAGTGACTTTATTCTTTATTTTACCCTACCAGTAATGATTGAAAATATTTAGAGAGAGTTCTACAGGCCACTTTCTTTTTTAACTCCATTCCTGATTTATTCGCGTTTTATCGACACGCACGGTATATCTACGGACAAATTGAATAATGACGGAGAACGATCGATAATACGGAATGTGTCGTCCCGTGTGAATAACGACTAGGGTAAAATAACATGCGTGTTCGTTTGCAGGAAAATTGCAAATTCGATGGGTGGGATGTGTGTTAAATAATGACAGTGTTCTTACTTTTTGCTATTTTAGTCCCGCCATAGCTCGCATCGATCGAAACAGATCGAGGCATGGCTTAAAAAGTCTAGTTTTACTATAAATCAATAAGCGAATCATTCATGAAAAATTCATTTAATCCACTGCTTTATAAAAGATGAAAGAGCACAAAATGAGAGAAAATCCATAAATGAAACAAGTAAAACAATTAAAACCGTTTCGATTTTCAATTTAACATAAAAAAACGTCTCGAGAATCCTTTTCGAAAAAGAAGGGAGGGAGGGGGAAAAACGAAAAGGTTGTCGTACTATTCGATCGTCGTACACACGCGTAATATTCTTCTACGCGTACAAAAGCGCGTGTTACACACAAAATATGCTTATGGCAACGCGGCATTAGGAGGATAAGATAAGATTAGGCTGGTGCCGGTGCAACACCGTGTTGCAAACAGGGTCTTAATATCGAAGTTTAAAGCTGGCGCAAGCAACTCCGTGGTGCGCATTCTGGAAACAATTATTTACGCGTCGATGTAATATGCAACTACCGTGTTGCATAATGCGCACGACACGCTCACGGAAGCGCGGAATATTTTACTTTGCCATTTTTTACCTTGCAATCTGTATTAATATTCACGTTACGTTATATATTGAGAATCAATTACATACAAATTTAACCTCAGAAACAACACGAAAACGATATACATATGTATGATTCACTATTGCGCGCATGCAAATTACGTCATTTTGAAGTTAAACGAAGCTTACATCAACTTTTAATTTGCTTCCGTGCCGTTAAAATTTTATGTTAAAATTTGCTAAATGATCAGTCATATGTAAATTACCTATTTAAAAAGACAAGTGGATAAGAGACGATAAGAGTGCACGTTTAATTTAAATACAATGCGTGAGGTAAATTTCTACGAAATGTATTTAATTTATGTGGATATTTATTTGAGACGGACGTTACCGAATAGTCTTTGTTACAAATTGACAGCTTTAGTCGACATTCAAAATATCACGGCATTTATAACTGTTCTTGAATGTTAAAAACGCCTATTTTTAACACTTAAGGTCACATATGTATTATTTTACTATCCATGTTAACAATAGAATATCCCTTAAGTCCTTAATCGATTGAAAAAAAGCTCCAAATTTATTTTTCAACTTTTATCGCACATGATCATTTTTTACAGATGTCAAGGAATATATATAAATGTTTGTAGATTCTTTCTTAAACGCTTTGAGACAGCTAAAACTACGACAAGACATTGCGATCCACATATGATGACCAGAAGTAAAAAAAATAAGTGTAAGTTAATACAAGAGTTAAATATAAATACAATTAATTAAAAACAAGAGGCAAGAGCCCTAAAATAAAAATAATGTAACAAAGCGTTAGGCATTTCAGTGAATCCAATAACATAAAACCAAAGTAAATGAATTATTAAACAAAATATAAAAGTAAGCAATTGCTGCATCCCTGGACGTAGACAGGATGTTTGACGACGCCAGTTAAAAGTGACCATTGACACGGATTTTTAGCCCGCGGCTCCGTCTCGTCCCATGGGGTTATACAATTTCAAAGACGGCGATGAAACCTTAGAGGGGTCTCGAGAGGTTCGATGAGGAAAAAGAGAGAGAGACGGAGAAAGAGAAAGAGAGAGGAGAGAGATAGAGCAAACGTGGTAGCCGCCAAGGTGGAGGCGTTGTGTGCGCATGGTAGCGGGTCGCGTCTCGCGGCGTGGCGGACATAAAACGATTCGGAACGAATTTCGACAAATTGACGTGGCCGCCGCGAGCAACGTACTCTCCTCCGCGCCAACCTAACCGAGCTGAACCGCGTTGAACGAACCGAACCGAAGGTAGAAAAAAAGTCCCGCCGACTTCACCCCTTTCGCCCGCCGCGGCAGCGTGGGCCGTTACCTCTCTAGCGATCCTTTTTTTTCCGCTTTCTCCTCGTCTATATCTCTATCGCCTCTACCTCTCCACCTCTAGCGGCTCTCTCCCTCCGTCCCTCTACCCGGCACCGACCGTCCACCACCGGCTAATCGATTTAACGCAATGTCGCGCGGTAATTGTTAATTTAGATTTTTCGCGCGCTCAGCCGCACTGAAAACTCTTCCGATTTTCTTCTTCTCCTTCTCTTGTGTATCTCTAATGAGATTCGGAGATGGCTCGAAGCAGTTGATGAAATTGTCTCTTCGAGAAGGTAATAGCGTTTATAATATTGCGCGGTGCGAAACACTACAAAATAACTCCTAGTCGTGCAAAAAAATATCTCCCCGCGCATAAGACGTGCGATTCCTAAAAATTCGCGGGAACCTTGCGAGGCCGGGATCAAACATCACCTGTACAGTTTTATACGCGGTCGAGAAAACCACCGAGCGCGTTACGAGTCGCGATTGAATGGGGCGAGCTTTAAGTGCGCGTTTCTTTAAAACGCGGTCGTGCGCGCGGCGCAACACAAAGTGCAACGTCGATGACAAACGACGGGCAGAAACGAGGTGTCAGAATGACGGGACCGCAAAAGGTAATGATATGATTGGACCGTTGTACGCTGTACAGGGGATGTTTGCGGTTTTGCGGTTTCCGCCCCTCGAATCGACACCTCCCTCCCTCCCTCTCTCTCTCTCTCTTTTTGCCTCCCCCGCTCTCTTTCTGACGGCTCTTATTGTTGCGCGCAGGCATCGTCGATTTCACGCGACGTCGCGGTTTACGATTCGCTAAACGCAAGCGACGCGTTTTCGCACGCACGGCTTAATTTTGTTAACGGTCCTTTAATCTCGAGTACACGCAAGTAATCGAACGTAAAACACGAGTCATAAGAGTCAAGAAGAAGACGAGTACACGAATATATGAGTCAGGAGAGAAACGAGAATGAAAAAGAAATGTTGCGCAATTATTTTAATTTATCGCAATTTACATATCTCACCGCTTAAAAAATATTTTGACTAATAGCTAAACAATATTTGTTGCTTATGATAGATTGTGTACATTATATATATTAATTATATTTATCGATCAAATTAGACAATATTTCACAATATTTCATAATAAAAAAAGAAATTTACCGAGATAATAAATTGTTATAAGTTTTTTTGACACTTTTTACGATACTAAAAATAAAATAAAAAACTTATAATACAATGCATTATTTTGCATTGAATAAAATAAATAAAAATTTCCTGATTTCTCTTAACTACTGTAATATTGTTGTAAAATAAATAGAAAATAAGATATAATAGTTTTTGAAATCTTTGCCTCATTAAACGGTACATTCACGAGAATCTCATAAAACTATTTTTAGTCCTTAGAAAACTACGAGAAATGTACAGTTAGTCTATAGATTCTTTTTACGAGTCATTCGCGATGCAAAGATGACGACTATTCACATTCCATCGTGCCATATTTATATTAATTAAATTGCTGACTATATGAAAACGATATCCGCGATGTGATTATTTATTTCACCGAGAGATCAATAATTGAGCGATATCACTCTTTCATCTGTCGGACGATAAATTATCACTCGGTTTTGCATGAGAAACCGCGAGACGTTTAATTCTTAAATAACTAAGCTGATCGGACCCCTTACATAAGACACTAAGATTCCAGTGATTGATTTAGATTCGTGTCTTCATGTTGCATCCGGTTTTTACGTAAAACTCTACCAAGCGGAAAAGAGAACCGCAATGAAAAAATTATCAGTGACAGAACAATTATTCATAAATATTGCTTTAAACTTTAATGTTATTTTTAGAGCATATGCGTTACTATATTAAAAAAATAATTACCATTAAATAAAAAAATATTAAAAAATAAGTATTATTATTTCATGTTAGAAACTGTTGACAACTTGACAAATAAAGATTTATTGTTGAAATATATTATTAAGAGTTTTTTTGGCGTGTTGAAGAAATTTGTAAAATATCACTATGTTTTATTTCATTACAAAATTGTACATTAGAGTAAGATGATCAATCTTTAAGTATTGACATATCCATGTAACTTGTTTGAAAAATCATCTTAATGAAATGTCTTAAGACGTCCCTGACTTTTTCTCTTTTTACCGTGGCTCATTACATTCGAGCATGAGCAACATCAATCTCCTCGCACGTGGAAAGCTTTAACAGACGAATTAATCGAGTTGGATGAAACATGAGACAAAAATGGTCACGGATTCTGCTATCGAACGACTCAATTCAATCATGCCAAAAACGTATTCTACAAAACAGGATTATATACTTTATGTGAGTTAAACGTGAGTATTCCCTTGTAGTAACCCAAGTTTTTTTTAGCACGATGAAGAAAAATGCACGTGATATGATTAAATCATAAATGCTCTCAGAAATACCTCAGTAAAAAAGACTATTTGTAGAATAAATATTCTGAAAGAGATTCTGATTTTTAAAAAAAGTATTAAAAAATTGTTTAAAAAATAAAAATATTCCACCGGGTTTTAAAAAAAAAAAGGATACGATCAGAGTTAATCTTCGACATAATTTAAAATTAATTCAAAAGATTGCAATTCCAACATAAGATACCGCTATGCAATTAAAATAGAATCCTCCCGGCAGCGAGAGAGCGTGCGTACACGTATAATCGCGCCGAAAACGCACCTTCCTAGGCAGCAACGTTCCGAGAAAGTTGTGGAATCTCCACCTCGGGTCGGGCCCGGGCACACGACGAATGGACAAATTACAGGGTGCACGGAATAATGAGGCTCCCGTTCTAGGACGGTACATCAGAAATCGGGGTATCTCGCGACTATAAATCACGCGGAACACGGTCGTTGAGGCAGCTTCGTAAAACGGCCAATTGATGTGTTTCAGCTCGTACGAACGATAGATGCGCGTGGCACGAGTTGCGATGATGCAAAGAAAAACAATGCAGGAATGTCGACGATTTAAAAAAAATGTAAAAAATAAAAAGATAATACAGAAAAGATGGAGATACCATCAGATCTATCTCTGTGCATCTAGCCAATTGATCGTAAATTGTTGTATATATTATCTGCCCATTTTATGTATTTTTCATATAATCTCTCATTCGCATTCTTAATAAATCTACATATGTATTACTATCTTAAAAGCAAGAAATTAACATGTACAATAAAAACAAGAATAGAAAGAACCTCGTGTAAAAGCAACGTGACGTACTGTCATCGCGGAGGAGCGGAAAGTATCGTTAAGCCGGGGACAGCTCGTTGAAACGTGGTTATCTGTCGAGTTAACCATATGGTAATGATATTCTGTCCGACTTTGCAATGTATCGCAAAAACGATATCGCGCGTGATACAGAAAACTGGACATGTCGCTTCGGAATGTAACGTCAATATTATTCGAGACTGAGGATCCTATAATGATACCAGCAAACTATATATACGGTACATTTTCTTCAATATTTTGTTTTAGCGGCGAGCCTTCTGCTTGATACTATAACATTAACGACACTTTCTTGCTAACAATACAATTTCGATGTAAATTACGATATAAATTCATTATTCTTATAGACAAAATATTCAATATTTCTCTAAGCAAAATGCAAGTTATTAATGATTAAAAATAAGGATATTATTATCCTTCATTAAACTTATTTTTTTATATTTTTTGTATTATAAAAAATAATATTTAATTAAATTATACTCTTATTAAATTTAATTAAATTATACTCTATTATTTCTAAATATATGCATCATCATCATTTTATATGATTTCCATTAGGAACAATAATTTCTCTATTTCTCTGAAATAATATAAAATGACAATAAATTATATTTTTAAGTGACGGCAAAAGTAATCTTTCTTTTAACAATAATTATATTATCTAAATTCTTTTTAGATTGCTGATATCACATATATACGTAACATCGACATTTACAACCGTACTAATTGAAAAGAGAAAAAAGAAAGTCGCCTTCTTCTCGAAAGCACGAGAAAAGAATCGTAGCGACTCGCATCCGTTACAATGAAATTGTTGAGGCAGGTCAGGTAAGCGGATTCAGAAAATCAAATGACCACGACGAATTTATGTGCATTTCAAGCTCGTTTCCTGCGCTCGCCGTCGCACCTGTTTCCCGCCAAAATATTCTCACTTGTAAAATACAACATTTATCGGCGCGTACTTTTATGCAAATCTCTCAAACGTTAGATAGGTATGTAGGTAGGTAGATACGCGCGGTGGAAACAGATTATGATAAGTATAATCATTAGCGATTACCGTGATTGTGAACTGTAATCGTGCGCGCGCATTTATACTCAAGCTCATGCAAAGTTATGTCGCACAAATTAGAGGATCGTCGTAACGGCGGCCGAAAGTGCGCATAATTTCCCGATAAGCCGCATTTAGAAGCCACGTAACGCGCATGCAACCGTCGCTCGTTATCGCGCTCGATAGACTCGTTTCACCCGATCGTCGGCGCTTCGCGCTTCCGGCACAGATATATGTATATGTACACGCAAGAGAGAGAAATACAGAGAAAACACTCACCCGTATATGGCATCCTTGTCGCGTTTGTGGACATCGGGTACCGCGGAGGCCGCGGCCGCGGCTGCCGCCGCGAGAACGTGCTGTGGCGGCTGAGGCGGTGGATACTGGGGGTGGGCCGGTCCCATACTACCAAGGTGTGGACTGTGATGGAGACCGGGAACGCCGCGGGCATTACCGTGTGGATCGTACAGCCCTGCGCCTCCACCGCCACCACCGCCCTCGAGGTAACCCCCGTGCAGCCCGCCATCGTCGTACTGCAATCATAAAGTTATCAAATTAAAATACACCTATAAATTAAAATACATACATAAATATATTGATGTTTTCTTATTTGCGACGATATTTTTTTCTGTATTGGATCGTTTCTTTCTTTCTCTCTCTCTCTCTTTCACTAGATTAATATAAATTAAAGAATATATTCTTTGTAATACTGTAATTTTCTCGTAATACGTTCTAATCTTCATGATACAAAAATTTTCATCTTTTATAATCTGTTATAATTTTGATATAATACTGGGCAATAAAATGTATGCAAAATAAATATAATCTTTAATTTTCATCATATTTGCAATATTTATATATAATGCTATGTTATAATTTTTTCAAAAGCAAGAAATAATGTGGGTTACAAAGGCTTAAATATAGGCGCTGTCTATTCTGGCGTTGGCTCATAAATTTAGAATCGCGCGTTTATAACGATTGACGCAAGGACTCTCAGAAAGAACACGTGGAAAACGTTCAAAAGGTGACACGGGACACCGCTAGAATGTCATGTCTTTTTTTAAGTAAACTTGTATCAATCATAGTTTCGCGACTTCATATTCGTGGGACGAGCATCAGCTGGTGCTTCTCTTTAAGGACATTATATTTTAAGATCAAATGCGCGACATGTAGTGTCATTGCGGTCTGTGTGCGACCACAAAGAGCAATTAGATTGGGAAAATAAAAATCTTCGTGCACGCGTCATCGATTAATGTAAGCTTCGAACATATAAATAACCACATTTAAAAAGATGATAATTTCAATTTCATTTTGATTAGTCAGCAAATTTTAAAATTCTTGTCTTCAAAAAAAACTTATTAAATTATGCAAATTTAATCACAAATTTAAAATGCTGTCATATTTGTATTGCTGTCATATTTGTATAATTTATATTCAAGTAACAAAAGAGTATTTTATTGTCGCAAAAAATTAATTTAATATTATTTTTAAAAAAGTGCAAATATATATGTCTGAATTTCCGTATGGAATCATGATAGTCAACTTTTTCTTTCTATCGCTGTCGGAGAAAAATGTAAGATTTAATCGCCGCGGGAGAGACAATTAATTACATACCACCGCGTACGACCGGTAATAAATAACCGCGTATTCAATTACGCCTCTAGCAGCGCCGATTTACCAGAATACCGCAAAAAAAGGGCAAGACCTCGTGATTTCTAGCAATAAAGTTCTCGCGCCGATGCAAAGCTGATGGATGACGAGCAAAAGTGCGCTAATTGCCAGACAAATTCGAGAGCGCGGCGTATCGACAGGGTGCTTGACGAATTGAAAGCCTGGAGACCCGCCTCGATCGATCGCGATCGGTCGGTCAATCGGATATGGAAGCATTGATTTTTCGTCCAAGTCCGCGGTTTGTGCCACGGCAGTCGGCGCGGGAACGAAAGCAAGCCGATTATTATCGTTAATTGCTTAATTCTAGCGTCGGCCTCGGAATGCCGCGTAATTCCGTCGCGAAAACAAGTGGCGGCGGGAATTCGCGGTTTTACCTTCCCGACCGGAGGAAGGAGGGAAATTCTATACAATCTAGAAAAATGTAATTCCGTCCGTTACAAAGTGACATTGCAAAAATATCGCAAGCCATCTGCGTTTTTTTTCAATTTAATTTGCCTATTTTCGACATTGCATGTCGTGCACTTGATTTTGAAATATAATATCCTTAGAAGCGATCAGCTGATACTCGTCCCACGAATATAAAGTCGCAAAATTATGATTGATACAAACTTACTTAAAAAAAAAAAACATGACATTGTAGTGGGGTCTCGTATCATCTTTTCCATATGTTCTCTCCGAGAGAGAATCCTTACTGTACTTAATCTACTTGAGCAGAAAAAATATGTCGACATAAAAATCTGGGATGCGATTGCAATTGCTATTGTAATACAACGCTATGTAAATATGAGAAACAAGTATGTATGCCAAGCTTTCGATTAATTTGATTTATGCTCGTGCGCCAAAAACATGTCAGAATTATGAAAATCACATGAGGCGAATCGAATGAGCTTGATATCGCTTGAATTAATCCAATACGCGCATTAAAGTCGCCTTGGAGTAGAATGCAAGTATAACGCGCCGATTAAAATTCGATCTTTCCAGCGCAACATTCTCATATCGCCAAAATGCGGCGATATAATGTTGCGAAGAACCAGAGTACTAAATTAATAGTAATATCTTCATCAATGTTTCACATAAATATTTACATGTGAATCTCTGAAAGCTCGACACACTTCTTGTTACATAGATAGATTGTTACATAAAACGCTGATTTCATATCGATTGAAGATTTATGCTAAGGTTAGGAAATTATGAATATTTTTATGAATTTTTTATGAATATTTTATAAAAAGATTTTAACATTCCTCATTTTTTGCAACATGACAATTAAATAATAGCAGACATTATTTATAATAAATATTTGGAAATATACTTTCATAATATTATATGTATGTGAACACGCGATAAATTATGTCTCTCTATCATAAATAATTTTACTTTTGATTTCTCTATTCGTGCAAACACGCAAGTTTTATTTATTCGCGAAAAACGACGTCAAAGTATCCGGTAGCGCGCGGACACGTCGCGTCTAGAATGCGAATCCCGTGCCGAGGACTGAAGAAGGCCACGAACAATAATTCACCGTCACGACGGCATGAAGATATCACTTGAGCGGAATATCTTAAAGGGTAGTAGAAAAAGCGGGGTGTCTTGTGCCTCTCAAGACGCGATCATGGAACGATCTGCGATGAAGCTCGTCATCGTCGTCCTCGTCAACGTCGCGGAGAAGACACGCGACAAAGTCGGCTCGAGAGCACATAAGCATGCCACATATACAATACAATCGTTATACGCGGACAGTTTAGCGCTAATTTGCGACCGAAACGGCGAAGAAGTTACAACATGACGTCGCGACGATGTCGGACTGTCACCGAGACGTTACGAGCGATGAACCGACTTGATGTGGAAAAGATATTTCCGGAAGCGGTACGAGAAAACGACGGGTAGATTTTATATACCGGATCGTGTTAATATATATATATAGTATATGTATATAGTGCTTCTATAATAAATTACTCCACTTCTCTTGCTCATCTTCTTAAGTAAATTCAATCGAGTTAATTTCTTTGGGCGCATAGCTAAATATATGTTATACTAGCGTGAAATAAACTACGAATGTCACATGAAAATTCATGCGACTACTTAAGTGCTGAATTATGTTTGCGCATAACGTTCGTCCGAGACAAAAATTGAATAATGCATCCTAAGGTTAATATACAAATTTCTCCTGTCACAGGGGATTAATGCAAGACGCGAGAATTCCGACGTATGGAAATGACGTTTTTGCGTAAACAAGGCGCGCGTACGGAAAGCCGTTTCGGTTTCGTGCAACTGGCTCGACAGGCCCCGAGAACCGAGGGAAATTTAGCAAAGCCTGATAAACGACCGCCATTTATAAGTAGATAGGTCAAGGCAAGCGCTTAAGCATCTCGGTATAAATTGCGAAAAAAAAAACGTCGAGGAGAGAGAGGGATGCGCGCAAAAGAGAGAGAGAGAGAAGAAGGATGAGACACGCAGCTCTGTAATACTCACGACGATTATCTTCGGGTGAAAATATAAATCGGCGGAATATCGCGATCCCCGGCGGATCACCGGGACTCCGAGGACTCAGAAAATTGCCGAATGATGGAGGTGCCGCCGTCGGCGAATTTTGCGAGCCGACGAGGTAAACGCCAATAACCCGACAACATTGGCTCTCCGTCTCTACATCTTTTTTTCTCGCACTTTTTCACTCTTCTCTCCTTCCCTCTAATGCACTCCACCTCTATCTCCGTTGCACGGCGCGCACAGCCGGCGTTGAAATCAATTTCAGAATTGTATAACGTATCGCGCGCGAAGAAATATCGGAGGCGTCCTACCCGGCTATTAATCTCTCGCGAGAGAGGCGTAATGCGAGAGATTTCGCTGAAAAGATTTCAAGGGAAAATAAAATCCGTCTTTGGCATCGCCAGACTCGTCATCGCTCCCCGATATATGATATTATCCGAATAACTCTTCGCGTAAATGTTATTTTTATTGAGATCGACGATAATTAATTAAATACGTATACAACATTGTAATTACTTGACAGAAAATGATGACTTTGAATATCGAGATGTCGCAGAGGAAAAGACAGGACTGTTGATGATGTTTTACGGCGGAGCAAGCTCGTCTCGAAATCGGCAAGCATATTCGCGAGCTCTCCACGTCAGCCATAATGTTTTATTTCGAAACAAACTTTTGCGTCGAAATTTTCATTTGACATTTAGTGTCGGCATGAAAATAAAACTCGTTCACCAAGAGGGAGAATCCCCTGGCGGAAAATATATAAACGAGAGATAGATTGATTATTATTTAACACGACGAGTGAAATTTACAATTTATAATAAAACTTTCGCCGATGATATCGATTGACGACATTGTACTACTTACGGACGCTTTCGCTGTCAATATCATAAAAGGACAGTCAATATTTTAAAAAAAATTTTTAAACATTTACATTTTGTGATCAATATCAATTTGGAAAATACTGCGTAATACCGTTTTTACTTATAAAAGACATATTTTCTCAATGTTAAACTCCTTCTATTTCAGATGTTATTCCGAAATATTTAACGTTTTTCTTTTCTTCACCGCACATACAATTAAACGCGATATATGAAATATAATTATCGTACATGGCAGTAATTAGTTCCTTAGAAATTCAATTATCTCAAACACTTCATATAAAATCAGATAAAGTTCCCGTAAGACAGCTCGCGCCTTGTTATCTTACCTATCGCTTCTTTCATTACGTTAAAATAGAAAATCTAACAATATAAATCGCGGTAGCGTAAAACTTAGGGAATTAACCCTGAAGTGGTTACGCTACGAGTATCACATTAAAATAAAATGTTTCCTTCATAACAGAAATTACATAATGTTAAATAAATAAATTATATGT